AGAGAGGATGAATTTTTTTCGCAAAATATGAAATAAGAAAGAAGATGGATTAGAAGGGGTAAGGAATTGCTTATTGCTCTATAAATGTTTGACATTTCAAAATGACATGTGTCAACTTCATGTTGCATCTTGAAAAAGAAAATCACATTTTTTCTATCTATTGGATATTGAGTTTTTTATTGAGACATGACCACCATGTGGGGTACCACGAGTAATGGGAAGCAAAACCATTTTAAGTGTGGTCTATGTGAATTCATTCTCGAGTAGAAGAGCATAACCGAGTCAGTTGCACTAATACATCGACCATTGCCATTTGCATCTGCATTAATTAAAATGCACAATATTTAATCAACTCAGCTCTTTTGCCTTATTCTGTTACAATCGGTCATTCGGCATAGCTCAATCAAACCACTCTGGCACATTTAGCTTGCACACCATTTTTCCCTGGTACGTTTTACTTGAAACTTCATTTTGCTCAGTTTTTGCCAATCACATGGTAGAAACATTCACCCCCATTTGTCTTTTTCTTTCTCTATTTGGCTTATTATTTCATTTGGTTTATTACACATGAACACCACGCATATTAACTTTCTATTCGACTCTTTGCTTAAAACATGCATGCCAAGCAGGTCACTGCTCCAGCTTCAATCAAATGTTTTCAACTACAAAGTCAGTCATGCCGACTGGGCCATATAGCCCTCAAAGTTTTCAACTACAAGTCGGTCACGCCGACTGGACCGCAAGCTTCATACAAGCTCCACTTGGCATACACCTTCGATCGGCCTAGACTGATTCACGAGTTTACACCTTCGGATCAGCCCTGCCCAATTCACAAATTTACACCTTCGAATTGGCCCTGCCCGATTCACGAGTTTACACCTTCGAATCGGCCCTCCACAATTCACGAGTTTACACCTTCGAATCGGCCCTGCACGATTCACGAGTTTACACCTTCGAATCGGCCCTACCTGATTCACGAGTTTACACCTTCGAATCGGCCCTGTCCGATTCACGAGTTTACACCTTCGAATCGGCCCTGCTTGATTCACAAGTTTACACCTTCGATCGGCCCTGTCCGATTCACGAGTTTACACCATCGAACCGGCCCTGCCTAATTCACCAGTTTACACCTTCTGATCGGCGCTACCCGATTCACGAGTTTACACCTTCGGATCAGCCCAACCTGATTCACGAGTTTACACCTTCGATCGGCCCAGTCCAATTCGTGAGTTTACACCTTCGATCGGCCCAGTCCAATTCTTGAGTTTACACCTTCGATCAACCCAGCCCAATTCATGAGTTTACACCTTCGATCGGCTCAGACCGATTCATAAAGTTTATACCTTCGATCGGCCCAAACCGATTCATAAGTTTACACCTTCAATCGGCCCAGACCGATTCATAAGTATACACCTTCGATCAGCCCAAACCGATTTATAGATTTACACATTCAATCGGCTTACACCGATTGAAAGACTTGCACCTCAAATCAACAAGTCATCGACCCAATCCACACAACGATCCATCCGACCTAATGAGCTACTATCACTAATCTGCTCAGTTTGCACTCATTCGACTAAATCTACTCTCTAAGCTAAATACTCTTTAACTTAGAGAGTGGGGGGCTAACTGTTATGGTCAAAAATCGTCTTGGGCTTGACGAGGCCCAATAACGAAATAAACATGTTACGAACCAAGGCCTCAACCCAATCTCGATTGGGCCTACGCATAAAATCACCTTGTGAACTACCCACTCTATGAGTTGGGCTATCCTATAAGTTAAGCTAAACTGGGTTTCAGCCCATTAGCCTGCAACAGTCTATAAATAGGAAATCAGAATCCCATTCTATTTCTTCTTCTACTAAGATATCAAATCTTACTCAAACTATTAAACTTNTTCTTCTTCACCGCGACAAAGTCTGCATTTCCTCAATTCGCCAAGACTTCATCACATTTAGGGCTTTCACACAACCATATCAACATACAAACTCAGCCAAGCACCAATTTACCACATTAGGGGCAAAATAAACATAAATCAAAGATATGCCTCAAAGTGGGCGTTACAAGTTGCTACATGCTCAGACTTTCCTTCTTGAAAATCCCACGAAGTTGTGTGTATTTTACTCATTTCTAGCACATCGCCGCAAGAGTATCTTAATGAAAATGCTTGAAAATGCAGCAACTTAATTCCTTTACCAAGGTAAATCCCACAATAGCTGCTAGTTGTTTTTACTGTTTGGCTTGAAGAAACTTAAGAAGTGGTTTTTTGATTTAGTTGATACACATCCTAATTAATTTTGTTTTTATCTAGTGCAGAATGCTCATTTGGTAATGGACTTATGAGTAAATAAGGGTTTGATGTTGTGAAACAATGTTGAGATGTCTTCTATTCCACCAATGTAGCCTATAATTCAACTAGCATACTTTATTGTTAGGTGGTGTGTTTTGATATGTCTTAAGTTGATATATGGCCATTGTCTAGATCCGTGTGGAGTAATGGAGTCCAATAGTTTTAGCGCTTTCAACCGTCCATGCCACAGATAGATTCTTTATTTCTTTATTACTTGGTCATTAGCTTCATTGCCTGCCTCATTTAAACCGAAGTCCAATTAATTGAATTTTAGATGAAAAATTAAATTATCAATTACAGGAGGCATATCTGAAGAGTTTTTGTGCTTTAAACAGTTCACTTGCAGATTTGTTGCAGAGATAGTAGTTAGTGGTACTATTGCCTCCATGGTTGTGTTGAAATGGTTTTACCTTCCTAAGTTTAAATCCTCTCATTCCTTAGATCTAAATGAATGATCTTGGTTGTGTATTGTTTCCCCTACAGTCTCGTACATCACACAAGGAAATAAGTCATATGATTTGATCTTGGTTCTAGGAGAAGCATAGTTTTTATAACAATTACTTTATGTGAACTCGGCTTCTTTGCATATATTTTCAGCAAATCTAGTCGTTTAGTGGAAGTCTAATTACCAAGTATGCTAATAGTGCCAACATAACAAATGTCATCAACTGAATTACATATTTTAGTGAGAACTTATAAATAAATTAAATATCGTTCAATGAACCCTGGACATACATAAATGCACAGAACATATAATTAAATTAACACACAAACTGCAGCAATGGCATGAGTGGAGGTAGAACTTGGATAGCTGGTATCTCTAATCACGGACCCTTTTGTAAAGAAGGCTGTTGTAGACAAGACAGAAAGCAGAATAAGCAGAATGGAAGTAACCAATGCGATCGCAAATGCGCTTCCTACTTGTCGATAGAACTTTCTATAAACAGAGCAATCGATAATGCTATCACAAAATATATGCACAAAGACATATGAAATTGAAGTTAAACTTCCATGATCGAGAATCATTCTAGTCATCGATAAATAAGGCAAAAGATGAATGTATTTGAATTAATTACATGAAGGCTAGAGAGTAAGTAAACTTGGAAGGAACTTTGATACTAAGTACTGGTAATTGAAAAACAGAACTCCCAAGTACTGGTTGAAGTTGGGGTATTTTTATGGGCATATATGTAAATTTATCATTTTAAAAAACTGTTAGAACCACTGGAAAATAAACTCCCAAGCACAGGTTGGGTGTTTTAAAAACCGCTACTAAAAACCCCTCAAAACCGCTACAATAGTTTACCCTCAAAACCGCTACGGTGGTTTACCCTCATAACCGCTACCATGAAACTCCCAAGCGGACCCTAATTGGCTTATGTTAGGGCCAAAAATCATCTTGGGCTTGATGAAGTCCAATAACGAAATAAACATGTTACGACCCAAGGCCTCAACCCAATCCCGATTGGGCCTACGCTTAAAATCACATGGTGAACTACCCACTCTATGAGTTAGGCTATCTTATAGATAAGTTAAGCTAAACTGAGTTTCAGCCCATTAGCCTGCAACAATCTATAAATAGGAAATCAGAATCCCATTCTATTTCCTCTTCTACTAAGATTCTAAATCTTACTCAAATTATTAAACTTGATCTGATAAGGTCAATAAATCATATATCTTTCATGATAGGGATTATCTCCCAAAATAGGACTTAGTGTCCTACTAAGATTCCAAATCTTATTTAAACTATTAAACTTAATCTGATAAGGTCAAGAAATCATATTTCTTTCTTGTTAGGAATATCTCCCAAAATAGGACTTAGTGTCCTACTAAGATTCCAAATCTTATTTAAACTATTAAACTTAATCTGATAAGGTCAAGAAATCATATTTCTTTCTTGGTAGGCATTATCTCCCAAAAAAGAGGACTCAATGTCCTACTAGGATTCCAACCCCTTGGGTTCACTATAAAAACATAGGCTTGCCCTCTCATTAAGGGGCAATCTCCTATAGTCAATCTACACTACTCAAAACCATCTATTTGCTCTTAAGTTCTTGCTCCCAAGAACCCGACGTCTCTACCCTAGTCCTAGCCTCCGACAAGACTCCTGGTAATTCTTCATCTCCTTAATTCTTATCAAATAATCTCTTTCAGCCTCGCTGACTTGAGCTCGGAGTGCCTACAGCAAACACCACCCCGGTGTTTTTCGGAAGCTTCACGCTTACCCTTTCATGTGTGCAGGTCTAGCGGATTGTCAGTGGCCTCAACCTCACAGGATCAGACCCTATTTTCATGACGGTAGATTTTTTGCATCTATAGCTTACATAGGCTGAATATTGCTACAACACAAGCTGGAACTCAAGTATCAAATGAACACCATTCAAAGTTGTTTATGGGCGTAAAGCTCTTTCTCAATTATCCTATATCCTGGACAAGGGTGAATATTAAGAAAGGAGAAGTTGTTAAATGTCCAAGTATTTAATTTGCTTTATTTTGATTCAATCAATAAACAGTAGTTGAAGTAGTCAAGTATTGAACTGTTTAGATTTCATATGCAAATTTGCAACATGGTTGTACTATTTTCAGGTTGTGTTTTAAATCTTCATTTAATTATATGTTTGGATAAAAATATCATCAAGAACTAATCTACCATAAATTTGGGTTAATTTGAAGTATGTAATAACTAAATTATATATTTATTCATCTACTTAAGAGTAATACATTTGGTAAAAACAGGAAGAAAATAAAAGAGAAGGCTTGGAATGCTTCAAGAAAACTAGTGAGGAAAAAACCCAAACAAAAGAGGACTAGAAATACATGGTGAGAAAAGACTCATCCTGAGGTCACATGCTCATTGGACTTGTTGGATCATTAAGAGCTGCAATGGCTGTTTGGATTTTGTTCTCCAGATGTTCTTTCTCATCTTCATCCGCCTGCAAAACATCAGTAATTTGAAGTTAATAATGATCTCCAAAACTAAAATTCACAAAAATTCTTTGATGTGATATTTTATATATATATATATATTTAAATAAATCATTCAACTATCTATCCAATAATACTATGCTTACTCACGATCTTACTATCATATGTAAATATAAAGCATAGTATAGGTATCATACGCATAATAAGGATACCATATGTAATTTTAACAAAGAATAATAAGATGGTTAGTAAGATAGTGAGTAAGCATAGTATTACTCCTATCTATCATTAAATAAATTAACCTAAAAATGTGGATGCAATATAACTTAAAACTTTTAAAATGGTCCCATATCTTTGCAAATAATACTATGAATAAAGAATTGGATAAAGAAATCATAATTTCAACATCCTTGGATTCTATATTCTAAATTAGGGCAAGATAGTACCGTTGCAATTAATTCATCAATAAAAAATAATATTAAAATAAATAATGGATTTCCTATCACTTCATGGAGTTCCATATTTAAGAAGCTGCCACAATCAACTCGTGGCCCATTTAAAACACAAAATAATTATAGATTAATGGCATAATCAGAGTTGGGCTATATATTCAATTCATTTATATATAAAAAAATGATAACTATATAATATTTAAGATAAATTAAAAGAGTTAAATATAATAAAATAATTATACCCACTAACTATTTTTTTTTTTAACGAGGAAAACTACTTTATTGTCTAATTATTTAATTAAGGTGGTGTAGAAGATTTGGACAATAATTGAGATAGGGGATCGTGTTCTAGTTTTATTTAAAAGATTTTCGGCTATATAATAATTTTTGACATTGACTTTTGAACTTCCAAAGAAGTCCGCAAATTAGGGCACCCTTGAGACTTGCATCAATAATATATTATTTAAAAAAAAAAAAATTAACAAAGATACACTTATTGTTTTAAAAATTTAACATTCATAAAATAACATTTACACATCAAAACAAGTCTATGATTAAAAAATAATGTAAATCTCCTAATACAAACAAGTGTAATATTGATATTTAGTCAAACATTTGGGACCAAAGAAATATTTAACAATAAAATCAGTGCCCATGTGTTAGGGATGCAACATTTGGAAACATTATTTGGAGAATGAAAACGTATTTCACCAACTCTAATATAATCACAATTTAAATCTTTCAGTAGGTTCGTTTAATTTCATACAATTCACCCAAAACGACACCGCTGAATATAAACAGCAATGAGCAAAATGTGAAAACTGAAAAAGACTCGTTGAATTGAACCGCGTGGGAGTTAGAATGAGCGAAAGAAATTAATCACATGGCAAAACTTAGAACAGTGAACACGTTTTTAATTGATTTCATTTTCTCACACGAGCTTTTCGTGCAGTCTTATCTTCCCACGTTCGGTTTGATAGAACACAAAATTTAAATGGTGGAAATTTTTTGAAAATATTAAGACTCTGACCAAAGATGGAAAACGTGTTGTTTTGCTAACTATGGTGACACCCAACATGAGGGTTAACATATATGACTAGCGTTAGAACTGAAGTATCTCGGCGTTGATTCAACGAGGGTAAGCCAATTTTTCCAATTAAACTCATGGGCTCTGTTTGGTTCACAATTTTATGTTTTTGGGAAAAGTTTTTTTAAAAAAGTTAAAAAAAAAGTTGAATTGGGCGGGTATTACGATGTAGGATTTACAAATTTTAAAATATCCCCTATGTTTGTTTTTTTACAAAACACCCCTTATAATAAAACATTAAAAGTTAACAAAAACACCCCCAATCCACCCTCAAATACGGACAGTCGGCCACCACCGCCGGAGGGTGGCCGGAGTCGCCGTAACAAAAATATTAAAAATATTTAGGGGTATTTAATTGAATTAACAAATTTAGGGGGTTTAAAAAATGTTGAATAAAGTTGAATAATATTGTGAGTTTTTTGGTATTTTACTGTTTAACTTTTTTGGGAATACTAAAAGTAGTATTCCCAAAATCCAACCAAAGGAAGCCATGAATTTTGGTCTCTATTTTTGTGTTTTTATCACAATTTTTCAGGAATGAGTTTTAATGTTGGGAATCATTTGAAAGATTTATACTCGTTTAAAGTGGAAATCTAATAATATACGAATGGGGTCATTTGATAACTTTTTGATGTGGAAATGGGTGTTTTTTGAGGACTCTTACATATTCATCATAAATGGGTGGGCCACTCTATTAAAGTAGTCTATGGGTAGTCCCCACATTTCTTCTTGATTTATTTTTCTTTTAGCCTTTGTCTTGATTCTCTTCTATGCTTCTACTTAAATTGATCACCAACCTTCCCTATATTTTTCTTTTTATTAGTTTTTACTTTTTGGTAAGGAATCCATAAGCAGAAATATTATAATAGTGGGAAAATTTTTATTTTCTTGAGTTAATAATATTTTTTTCTGAAATAACAAAAATCTTTCCACCATTAAAATTTAATTGTTAAAATAAACCATAAAAAAAAATAATTCAGTGACTATTCATTAAATTCTAATAGCGTAAGTCCAAATAACTCATTAATGACTTCTTGTTATTTCAAAAATTTCATAGGATGTATATACTCTAATAAGAAAGTGACCAGACGGATGAGATGAAACCAGTTGGGAAAATTATAGATAAAAAACAAAATAAAATGAGTAGACCGACTGACCTCAATAAAAGCCGTCTTCAAAAGCCTGCCTGCGACGGCGGTGATATTTGCCGTAATTATTTTTAGCTTCAAAGATTCAAAGGCCTCACACAATTTTACCATTGTATCCGTCCTTTTGCTGCATGTGATACTCACCACTAGAGTTTTTTCTCCCATTGGGTTAACACGAAGCTGCAATTAAATTATTTTTTTTATGTTATTTATTATTTGTTTAATGAATTATTAGAGAGAGAAAAGAAAAAAAGAGAATTACTTCAAGAATTTCAATAGGAGAAGTTCTTGATCCTGTAGAATCATTAAACTGATCCGTTTTCTTCTTCTTTGATCTCAGCAAGACGGGTAATTCTTGCTCAAAATCATAACACAAATTCTTCTTTGTTTTCCCAGATTCAAGCTCCACGATCTCCTCTTGAATTCTTCTCTCTTGGTCATGCAATTCTTGTATATAATCAATTGCATCTTTGATTATGGAGGCCTTATCCATCTAATCATAGAATTTGAAGTAAAAACAAAAAAACAAAAAAAAACCCATTTCAGAATAAAACAAAATCAAGGCTAGAGAATTAAGTAGCTAATTAATTAACAAACTACTCACTTTGCTAATGTTGGGAACAACAGCTCGAAGAGCAAAAAGCCTTTCATTAAGTTTCTTCCTTCTGTTTCTCTCCGAAACAATGTTCTTAAAGCCGCAGATGAAGCAGCGCCATCCGGAGAACTCGAATCATAATACCCAGAAAACGCTTCATCAATCGCCCAACTGCAAAAATCGAAACATAAATTACTTAATCGTCATAAAACAAACAAACAAACATGAAAAACTCATCAAAATTAAAGAGGCATATCATATAATTAAAAAGAAAAACACACGCACGTATCAAATTCTTCATTTTGGAGAACATTTTGGTTTCCCAGTAATGTTTATACTCATCGCCAATATTTTCCATGGTGGTTTTCTTTCCTTTTTTTTTTTTTTTTTTTTTTTAAAAGACAGAAGAACAAAAAAATGAAATGGTTTTTGTTAGTTTCTTCCTCAAGTAAACGTTTATTAAAATCGTGAGTGGAGTGGGTTTTATAGAGGGAAGAGAGTGCAGGATAAAAACAAGAACTAGGGAGCTATTTAAGGAGGAGAATTTTTAGACCACGTGGGGTGCTTGCTATTTTTCAAACTGTTGCTTCTCAGAAAGATCATAACCGTCCACTGTGTGTATGGTCTACACGGTTCATGATTGTTCCACGTTAATTTACTGTACTCACGCTACGTATGGAGCGTGAATGTACGCTCCTATGATAGGCTTTTGGGAATGTTGAGAAATAACAACGTATGCGTGTTTTAATATTTTATCCCTATTCTGGATCCTATTTTTCAAATCGCGTTTGGTACAATATTCTCAAAATATTACCCTATTTTTTTAATTATTTTTAACCCCATAAGGTTTTAATTTCACTAATACCCCCTGAAAAAAAGTTTAAAATTAACAAAAACACCCCCATCAACCCAACTTGTCAGATTCCGGCAACCACCGTCGGTGATAGCCGGAATCTGTACACGGCCAAACTTCCGACCAGAAATGGCCGGAAGTTCACCGCTGTGGCCTTTTCCGGCCAGATCCACCACGGATCTGGCCGAAAAAGGCCAGATCTGGCCGTCAGCGACGGCCAAAGAAATGGCCGTCGTTGACGGTCAACGACGGCCAAATCTTGGCCGTCTCGACCGAAAACGACGGCCACATTTGGCCGTCGCTGACGGCCAAAGATGGCCGTCGTTTGCCTTTTCCGGCCGTCGACGGCCAAACAACCATAGATCTGGCCTTTTCCGCCAGATCTACCATGGATCTAGCCGGAAAAGGCCCTAACGATGTGTTACGGCACAGATCCACAAGTGTCGTGCCGTAACGAAATTTTCCGGTCAGATTCCGGCGGTGGTGGCCGGAATCTGACACTGCAGTGGTGGGGTGTTTTTTGTCATTTTACATGTTAGGGTCTTTAGTTAAATTGTAAACCTAAGGGCTTTTTTATAATTTTTAAAATTTACCTCGTAATACTCCCTATCCAATAACCCAATACTACCCCTAAAATCCTATCCAAAATACTAAACCAAACGCACCCAACAAATTCTTTTAAAATGATTATGAAATTATGGGCCTGTATGAGAGTAGGTAAGGTTTTCATGAATAAGGCAAGTCAGTCATGTATCCTCAAATGCGAATCTTTAAATGTGTGAATTTAAAATTCACCTTTATTTAAGTTTAATTAATATATAATAGATTTTACTGTTTTTAAAATGTAATATATATGTAGAAAAAAGTTGTAAATCATGAGTTCTTCTCAAGCTTAATAGAATTTATTAAAAACTCTTGAATAGGAAAAAGTTATGGAGGAGAACTAGATAAGCTCTTTGAATGAACACCTCTAAGATTACAACACAATAACCAGATGGATATCTTTACAACACCCTGTAGGTAATATTAGAAAATTTGAAAATTAATTAGTTAAACCACTTGCTATATGACTAATAGTTAACAACATCCTTAGCACCATTAGGTAAATCTTCAAGCGATTTATCAAACCATTAAGGAAAAAGTCGTTGACTAAAACATTTTTTGGAGAAAGTTGAAAAATATTTTAACTTGATATCGTTGCTGATGGCCTGCCTATTGTCATCGTAGTGGCTCCAATGGCAACTGGGCAGCAACCTTGCTAACTAATTCTCAAATTTCTTTAATTTTTTATTTTTTATTAAAAGATTTGGTTAAATATTTTAATAATTTAAATTTTTGAATAATGAAACATTTATTTAATAATATATTATTTATTTAATCTGATATTGCACCAAATATATGACAATATTAAATTCCATCCGATTCAATATGGAATTAGTCTAGTCGACGTTGCACCAAAAGCACCCTAATATTTGTTTTAACATTACTTCTCTATATAAAGTTTACTTAAACTTATGTTTATGAAATAAATTTAAAAATAAAATAAAATCAATAACTTGATAAACTGATTACAACCAAAGTAGAAAGCGAAACGTGAATCACAATAGAAAATCAATGGTGGAATGCAAAGAAAATGTCAAAAAAAATTTCCTCACACAGAATTTATAGCATGACTACTTTAGTCTAACAAAGGTCAAGCCAATTTCCAACCCCTACCCCTGTATTAACGTTTAGCCTTTTCCCAAACATAATTAAAATCCACAACTATATCTTAACATACCATATTTCAACTCAAACACATAATTACACAACTTAATCATAATTAGGAAACATAATTTCAACTAAATATAATTTTTTTTATAATAAAAATTATAATTACATATTTTAAACAATTTTTAATATTTAAAATTAAAAAAAAAAAAGATTTGTAATGAATTATATTCTAGAAGGGTGGTGGAGACATGAGTTAAATAATAAAATATATTCATATATAATGTGAAAACAAATGAACGGATTCTAAGAATTGTGGATTTTGCGGCTAAAGAAGATTGACCAAGACTTGAATTATGTCATCTAAAACACGTCATGCGGCTAATGCCTATTGACGAAAACATGACGCACAGTCCTTCCCATCTCTCTCTTATTAATTATCTTTTCTCTTAATTAATTAAGTTCACATATCAATATTAATTCGTTAATTTTCGAATAATTCAAGCTGATATTTACCTTCCATCTTGAAACATCTGCAGCTATCATGGTTATCCATCTAAATCTTAAATGATTCGTGTCCTTATCTTTCCAATCTTATGTAAATTCTAGAAGCCCTTTAATAAAACTGACAATTTATTGGTTCAAAAAGGATAAAATGAAACTTTATCTTCCATATACATTCTTTGATATAATAAAAGATGTACAAACAGTAAGTTTTTAGTGATATTTAGACAAAAACATTCTCTTTCTTTTAAGTCATATATCCTCGTGAGATACAATGCTAATTTGAGTGTGGAGGAACATATTAACAAACACTATTGCTAACACATTTTTTTTTAATGGTTTTTTGCTCATTTTACATGTATCGAAGTCTGAGACCATGCTCATTTTCTCATTCACTCAAGCCCTACAGTTTGAATAAAAAAAATTATCAAATACATATAAATTATTTCAAAAGTTTCCGACTTTAGTACAAACAAAATGGTCAATACAAGAGAATCGATTGAATTGTGAATGTGAAGCAAGCAGTTGCCCCGTAATCAAGCCAAACTTTTGGAAAAAAAAAAAAAAATTAGTTAATTTCAACAATTTGGTACCATGTCATTGTTCCAACCTTACTTTGTATTAGGAATTTCTAAGATTCCAATTCCATTACAAAATTAATATTTTTTTTCTAAAGCAAGACCTTGTATTTAACAACTAGATAATTCTCTTTTGTTTCTCCAAGCTATCGCCAATCATGGTCTTAATTAGGTTTTAGGGATTAAGTGATTCCAAGCATCATTCTCTTTCCTTTTCTCTTTTGTTTTGATTTTGTGTCTCTATGTTGTCATGAGATGACTTATCATTATGAGAAACCACAACTTATTCTACCTTTAATTTTTCATTTAAGTTTGTATCAATATTTCATTATTCATTTTAATATCATCAACCATAATTAATTTATTTAAAATTTTAAGTGATCCAGTCATATAATCTTGTCAAAATTAGAAATGTCTTTTTCTTTTAAATGACAAAATCATTGAAAACAACTAATTAGTTTCACATTTATTTGATAAAATGCTTAAAAGAAAAAGCAATTTTGTAGTCTTTGATTTACAAAAATAGTTTTATAATAGTATGATAGCTCATCCTTATCAATTGATACAATTATAAACGTTTAATGTTTGTGACTGATGGTGGTTTGATTTGAGGAAATTAAAGAAGTAAATTATGAATATATCTTATTTTGAGTTTTCCCCTTAGAAAGATATAAATATTTAAAACGAGCTTGCTTGTTAAAAGGACAGACAGCTAATCAGTAACAGTATCTGTCTGCTTATGACATCATCATTCCATTTTATAGTAAGCATTGATTACTTGACAACTCTTTGTCTCTTATCCAAAATGGAGATACACATAGACTACGGCGTGAGCGGTTCCAGGTACCCTGTATTTTACTGAGAATCAGAATCAGAACGCATAGTACAGGTTCCAAAAAATAGAATCGAAACCAAAACTGCACAATGCAATTCTTCAATTCAAGGAACTGGAACCTAAAATGCGGTTCTGTTCTTTTTCCGGGTACCCTGTAAAATCAATTACCCCCTATTAGTTTAAAAATGACAAAAGTACCTTAAAGTTTAGAAATACACCCCTAATAAATTTGATTACTCATTCATTTGTTTCTAATGTAACTCATAACCTGTAAATTTAATATTATAATTAATAATGTTATAATGTAATATAATAATTGTAATTAATTAAGTAATTATTAAATTATAATTAATATTATAATTAATTAAGTGATAATATATAATGTAATGTTATAAATACTTATAATTATTTAAGTAGTTATTAACAATAATGTAAGTATAATCAATTAAATTCTAATAATTTAATTTTACTTATGTTTATGCTTATGATATAATGTCATAATTAATAATAATCATTTAACTATGATGTTTAATTAATTAAGTGATCATATTACAATGTAAATTGTAATGTTTAATTAATTAAGTAATATACTATTAATTATAAGTGATATTATAAAATTACATTATAATCATTAATTAAGTATTGTAATATTGTTTATAATAGAATGTTATAATTAATTAAGTATCATACTATAATTTATAATGTATGTTATAATTAATAAAATTTAATCATTTAATTAAGTATATATAAATTGGTAATTACTAATGTTTATAATATAATGTCATAACAAATTAAGTACCATTTAATTATGTAATGTTCAATTATTATGTGATCATACTATAATGTATTGTTATAATGAATTAAGTAATCATACCATAAATCTATAATTTAATATTGTAATTAATTAAATTTCTAATCATTTAATATATAATTTTATAAGTAATATTAAATTGATTAAGTATTATATATAAATATATAAAGTAATGTTATAATTAATTAAATTTTTAA